TGTTCAGCATGGGGGTGAGTAGAAAATGAAGGCTAATCATGTTTTGGGTGTACTATTCCTTTAATGGGGCCCCAGGAACTTGAGGTCCTAGGGAACTGCCTAGTATTGCCTAATGGTAAATCCCCTCCTGCTCTTAGCGAAGGAAGAGCGGCTCTGTTTGTGTTTCTGAGGTTCCAACATGATGAAAAACCAGCTTCTAAACTGGGAACTTCTGGTTGGGCTGTGGGGACCAGTCTACCTGAAGCACAGCTCCTCTGGAGATGTCACATACCAAAAAATATACTAAATCATTTCAAAAGGTTTAGCTTTATGTTGTTATTATATTATTATAGTTATCCTTTGATCAGCAGCCATAACAGAAATAATAAAAATTAATCTGGGACCAAGAATGAAATGTAAAACTCTCCCATGGTATAGGGGAACTTTGGTTAAAATAAATAAATAAATAAATGAACAAATAAGTAAATAAAACCTACAATGTTTTAAAAGCGGTTGAGACGAAGCAGCAAAGCAGGAGGCAGTTGAACGTCCGTCAGCTTCTTCATGGTAATCCTCACCAGGCCAGATTTTTGTACCCAACTCTGGATTTAAGCCTTTTCATTGGTTCTACATTTTATAAATAATTCTACTGTATTAATGAAATGAGAAATCATCTTTAAAAACTGGATAATCAGTTCCATGTGTTTTAGTAGTGACTGTTTTAACTTTTTTATTTTACAAGTCTTATTGTTTTTGGGTTATTATTGTTCTGATGTTCCTCCTGTTAATGTTTGTTTCAGGTCTTTCTGAGTCTCTTATGATTTTGCTGTGTGAATAAAAGCTTATATGAAGTTCAAACTACTTTCCAGGATTTCCTTGTGCTCTGTCCTCCTTCTGAGCGGTAGATTTATTTAAGTCCACCGTCATCCTTCTGATTAATCACACAAATCTTTTTTAGTTGCCTTTTTCTCTACAAGGCATGATTTCTGATGCGGTAGACCGTGACATTCTGCAGAATGGTTTGGCTTTAAATGCATTGAAAATCTACTGAGCTGCACTGCTGCAGTGATCTGTGCAGCGCCCCCAGGAGTCTGTCTGCAGGAATTCACTGCTGAACAAATACCAGCTGACTCTAAATGCAGCTGATATATATGTCATGTCGCGTAGAGGCAAACGTTAGTAAGTTAAACTGATATCTATATAACTCAATATGTAAGAAATCTAGGACAGATTTCCTCCTCTGGTATCAGCGCCCCCTATTGGCCCTCCATCTTTGATGAAAACTGATTCTAGCTTCTAATACAGATGAAGCCTAAAGCTGACAGTAATTTGTGAAATCTTGTTAAAGTAAATTATAAATGCATAACAGGAAATTGGACCAAGGGATGAGTTACGGCCTTCTAGAAATATGCTGCAAAAATCATCTAAAGTCTAAAAAAGGCTTTCAAACCACTGTTTGTTTTTCTTAATTGGAGCAAGTAGATAACCAGCTAATGAGATTAGGTTTTCCCCTAACTATAAGATAAGTTATACATCACTTGATGATGTGCTTGGAGCTTGTTTTTTTTCCCTTGTCTTAAAGGAATAGTACACCCAAAACATGATTAGCCTTCATTTTCTACTCACCCCCATGCTGAACAACACTCTGGAGTACTTT